GTGTAGCTGTTCCACAAATTTGAATTCTTGGTCATCAGGTCGCACGACATGTTGAGTGATAGACTCATTTTGAAAAAGGAGCCGGCCACCCTCTGTGTAGTTGTTGCTTGCCTTCCTGCATTTGCTGCATGTTTTACGCATGTTGTATCAGATGCGGGAGACATCTCCAAGGAAAGCCCCCAAACTTGAAAAAGGATCCGGCCTCCCGGGGTTTAGCTTCGCTGATGCATCAATGTAAGATGACGATTAATCCGCCGATCTGGCGTGTGAGTTTAAGAGGGAGGGGGTGACCAGGGTGGCTCTGCTGGGGTATGGGGGAGGGGAGGGGGGGGGGCGGGGGTGGGGTGGCGTGGGTTCCGGTGGCGTGGGGGGGAGGTCCGGTCCCCTGTCCCGCCTGTGGACAATGGGAATTGAAGGAAGAAGGGGTGGGGGGGGTCCGGTGGCCTAGGTGGCTGGCTCTGCCGGGGTATGGGTAAGGGGGGGGGGGTCCGGGCCCCCGCCCTGCCTGTGGACAGGGGGAACTGGGGGAAAAGGGGGGGGGGTCCGGTGGCGCGTGGGTTCTGATGGCGTGGGGGAGGGGAAGGGGGGGCACCGTGGCGTGTGAGTTTGAAGGGGTCTCAGCTACAGCCTGGAGGCTGAGCTTCAGCCTCTGGGGGTGTTGCCGGGGTGGCTCTGCCGGGGAAGGAAGGGAGGGTGTGTGTGTGTGGTGTGCGCGTGTGCGTGGGGCAATGTTTGTCCGTGTACGCGAGAAGAGAATCGGGGAAAGAGGGAGAGAGAAGCGGAACGGGACAAGAGCGGAAAACGGGGCACACATGGGGGGGAAGACGAAGTAGGCGGTGACATGCGTGTCTGTTGTGTGTGTGGTGTGTGTGTGTGTGTGTGTGTGTTGTGTGTGTGTGTTGTGTGTGTGTGTGTTGTGTGTGTGTTGTGTGTGTTGTGTGTGTTGTGTGTGTGTTGTGTGTGTTGTGTGTGTTGTGTGTGTTGTGTGGTGTGTGGTGTGTTGTGTGTTGTGTGTGTTGTGTGTGTTGTGTGTGTTGTGTGTGTTTGTGTGTTTGTGTGTTTGTGTGTTTGTGTGTTTGTGTGTTTGTGTGTTTGTGTGTTTGTGTGTTTGTGTGTGTGTGTGTTTGTGTGTGTGTGTGTGTGTTTGTGCGGTCTGCGTGGTGTGTATGTGTGTGTGTGTGTGTTGCCACCGTGTGCGTGCGTATGTGCCTGCGAAGGTGACGCGCGTGTGTGGCTGTGGTGCGTGTGTGTGTCTGTGTGTGTAGTGTGTGTGTGTGTGCGCGCGTGTGTGTGTGTGCGCGTGTGCGCGTAATGTCTGCGAGCGTGTGCGCGCGTGTTTGTCGGCGAAGTGTCGCCGCCCAGTCCGGGGGGTGCGCGTGTGTGTGTGTGTGTGTGCGCGTGTGCGCGTAATGTCTGCGAGCGTGTGCGCGCGTGTCTGTCGTCGAAGTGTCGCCGCCCAGTCCGGGGGCACCCCAAGCGACCCGGATCGGCGGCACTGGCCGAAGGCCACTACAATAAAAGGAAGGGGGGAGGGGAACTATTAATAGCTTCCGACTCTTCGGTTTCCGCTTCGCTTCGGCTCCGCCTGGCCAGTCGACTGTCCAGGCGCTTGCCCGAGGAAGGCGGGGGGACCATGAAAAAGTAGTTTCCTGGCCCGGGGGCCCATTCCTCTAATCATCATCCTGGGCGCCGCCGCGTGAACACGATCCCCCGACGACCATGACGACGACGACGATGACGACGATGACGACGATGTCGACTGTTCGTCGTCGTCGTCGTCGTCGTCGTCCGTCGTCGTCGTCGTCGTCGTTCGTGGCCGCGGCTGGCGTGGCGGCGCCGGCGCGGGGCGGGGCGGCCGCGCCTCCTCTGCGGCGAGCTGCAGGGTGCGGCAGCGCTCCAGCAGCCCAGCGCAGGTGGACGCGTGGGTGAGGGCCACCTGGCTCGGGCCGGACGAAAGGGGGGGGATTGGGAAAGGGGGGGGTTCGAAATTTGCTGCGTGCAGCTGGTTTCGGCCCCGCCGCCGGGCCCACTCCTCGATACATGGGCGCCTCCCGGCGCCAGGAGGCGCCGGGAAAATCAGCTACGCGAGCTGATTCTCAAACCCCCCCCTTTGCTATCCCCCCCTTTCGCCCGGCCCGACTGGCGGGCAAGTTGGGCGCTTCATCGTGTGCCGGCGGCGCGCACATATGGGGTTCGGCAGGTTTATGTCAGGCGTGTCCCCTATACAGGGGGACTGTCGACGAAAAATATAAAAAATACACTAAAATAATTGAAAAATGATACAAAAATAGTCAGGGGACTATTTTTTGCATATTTTTTGACCTTTTTGGGAGTATTTTTGGGGTGCTTTTTATTTTTCGTCGAAAATCCCCCTGTAGGGGGACGCGCCCGACATAACGGTAGGTTCGTGCGGCGTCGGCGCGCGCAAAACTTTTCGACGCCGCGTCGATCATTCAACCTTGAATCGATCGCGGCCCCAATCGTTCAAGGCTGAATTCCGCCAGGTCGAGTGGCGTTACCGTGTCCATCGTTGCTTCTGCGTCACAGAATTCAACCTTGAACGCCTTCGCCAGCGCCGAACGAACCTACCGTGGTGATAGGGGTGAAGGCTACTGACAAGCAGACTGCTTCGTAGCAGGCGCGGGCCATACTACAGAAAAGGCCCGCGCCTTCTGATAAGCAGCCTCCTTCTACGAAGCCCTCCTCCCTCCCCCCACCCTCCTCTGGGCGTGGCCGAGCCTGGCCAGAAAATTAGGCGCTTCGTCCTGTGGGGCCAATCCACCTTGACTTCGGATCCGTAGGAGCGTCCAAGAGGAGAGTGGGGAAATTTCGGTCTCGGAATTCTACGTCTTCGGGCGTTTTCGCTGGCTCTCGGCCGTTTGCACAGCCTCGGGCTGTTCTTGCATGCCAATCTTCAACGTATCGTTCACTGTGCTCTCGACTACGCTCGATCGCAATTAGCACTTCCATCTCTGCTGCCCGCGCTTGAGGACCCTCTGCGCCGCTGACTTAAAAGGTAGGTGTACAGTGGAGGCCAGTCTACAAGAAACCCAACCCTGAGACCCCAGGACGTCCATCGATTTCTGGCGTGGGAACGCCACCCTCTCCATGGCGAGACCACCGGATCTAAAGAAACCCAGGGCACCCTGGAGGCAAGCAGGGTGTTTCTCGGCATGGGCCTCTACTGTGTGCAACCTCCGGCGGTGGACAAACCTCCCTTCAGTAAACCTCCCCTCGGTGAAAACGGCCTCGGACCGAAGCCGACGGACCTGGACCCGCAAACATGACGGCCGCGGCGCCCTCTCGCGAACCGAAAGCGTCCAATTCCTTGATCGACATGTCAGGGTAGGAGGTCTATCCACCTTCGAAACCTCCTTCCTCTTCTTCTTCTTCGAGGGTTGTCCTCTGCGGAGGAGGTGGAGGAGGAGGAGGAGGAGGAGGAGGAGGGGGAGGAGGAGGAGGAGGAGGAGCAGGAGGAGGAGGTGCTCCCCGTCCTCGCGCGTCTCCTCGCTCTCCCCCCCCCTCCTCTCCCCTCCCCGCTCTCTGCGGGGGGGGGGGGGGAGGGAGGGACGGGCGCGCGGCGTGCGAGCAGGGGCGCGAGAGAGTGGGAGGGGCGGGCAGGCGGATCCTCGCCCCCCTTCTCGCGCGTCTCCTCGTTCACACATCCTCCCCCCCTGTTCGGGGAGGGGGGGGGGCGAGGGAGAAGGGGGGGAGCGGAGCGGGGGGGAGCGCGGAGACGCGCCCCCCCCCCCGAGAGGAGACGGGCCGTTGCAGGCCCGAGCAAAGGGCCGTGGCCCCAGGCTCGGGGGAAGTCGAAGAGGTGGCTATCCCGGGGATGCTTCTGGCAACTCTCGTTGATCCGGGGGGAAATCGGTGAGAGCCGCCTTCGGAAAACCCGTGGGCTTCTTTTTGTGAGTGCATCCGCTTCGCTCTGAGGAATGGCCGGGTCTTTTCTCGAGTGGCGATCGCATCAGTGGATACTCGTGCTGGCAGTCATCGTCGGTCTTAGGGGAAGTCTCTGTTTAAGGCCGCTGTAAAAACCTTTTCAATGCAGACTGCACAGACATGGTAATCCTTGCAGCGCGTGCTGCCCCTACCACAATCGGTCGATGAGGAATCGTCGTCTTTGTCAACCCTGCCTCTACGAAGATCGCATACGTATCAGATGTTGCAGATGTTTCGTGCTCAGTCTGCACTGGCCTACCTTGAACGCTCTCGCTTGCCCTCTCGGGCATTTGTGACATCGGGACAATTGCTGGGTTCATATGTGAGTTTCGCACGTCTGCTAACCTCATGCGTTGCAACTCTCCCGTTCGATTCCGAACCAAATGGCCACGCCCAAACGATGCAATACGCGTTGCTTCTCTTTTTCGACGTTCAGCTGCAAACTCTTGCTTGACACGGTGGGTCTCACCACCATTGCTATCGCAAGGCGCTCCCGGCATGGGTTCCCAAGGGCCTAAAAACACGACCCGTCCCAATCATTATGTGTACAAGTATCAGCCGTTCAAGCCAGCGTGCCGTGCCAATCATCTGCAATACGAAATCCACTTTTTCCCTCCAAAGCGAACCAAAACATTGACAGGGGTATCGGTGCCATGGCTCATTGCGGCCAGCGCCAGGAAGGATGGTGCCACATAATTTTGAGCGTATCTGTGTGAACCATCGCCTTGCGTACCACCACCCTTCGGTCTCGAAACCGACGCCTCGTCGATTTAGATGGGTCGTCACAGTCTTTCGCCACACAAGGCTGCCACAGCTAGTCACCAGCACATGGCGGGGCTGTTCCCAGAAGGACAATAGGATGCGTCATGTCGGGATTGTACGATTAAGCCATCCCTCTTGAGCCAGCCCTGTTAAGCAAGAGAGGGTGGAGGAGGAGGAGGAGGAGGAGGAGGAGGAGGAGGAGGAGGAGGAGGAGGAGGAGGAGGAGGAGGAGGAGGGGGGAGGAGGGAGGGTGGGAGGTCGGGCGGGGGGCGTGGGCGCGCTCGGGAGGCCGCCTTCATCAGCTTGAGGCGGACGACGCACTTGGGCAGCTCGCAGAAGGGCATGACCTGGGGCCCGCGCGAGGGGCGGCCGCGGCGGCGGGCGGCCTCCCGCTCCGTCGCCCCCCGTCGCCCTGGCATGCTCGAGCTGGCCTCCTCCTTCTCCTCCCTTGCGCTGTCCTTCTGCCTCTGCTCGTCCCTCTGCCTCTCCCTCCCTCGTCTCCCTCTCCTTCGCTCTCTCTCTCTCTCTTTTGTTTCTCTCTCTCTCTCTCTCTCTCCCTCTCTCTCCCTCTCGGTGTCCCTCTGCTGCCGCTTCCTCCTGCTTCTCCTCCTGCTGCTGCTCCTCGTTATCCTCCTCATCCTTTTCCTTCTACGGACCATTATTATTGGAATAATTGCTTTCCTGCTGCAGTCAACCCCTACGATGAGGACGCACGGTAAGGATGCAAAGGCTTTGGAAGGCCATGCCGACACTTTGCGAGCGGGGCGCGGTCAGCGAAAGTGGCCCAGGATGGGCCGAAGAGGAAGGATGCAAGGCTAACTCGGAAAATCGCTCATCCTTACTATGCGGGTTGACCGTGCTCTTCCTCCCTGCCGTTCCCCTTTCCCCATTCCCCTTTGTTTTACCCCTTTCCCCACTTCACCTTCTCCTTCGCCTTCTCTCCTCCTCCTCCTCACCTGCTGCTGCTCCAACCCATCTCCCCTCCACACCCTCCTTGTGCTGGTGCTGCCCTCCCCCACAGGGGAAGATGATCCAAGCGACGGGCCCAACCATGTGCAGTTGTGGATACCGCAACCGTGACTTCAGGCTGCGGTGGAGCTCCCCATGGGGGCCACGAGACGTGCGAGAGGCGTGCCGAACCGGGTGCGGGGCCGCCGTGCGGGCCCTGCCGCTGGGGCCTCCGGTGGAGCTCCCTGAACGGGGTGCGGGGCCACCATGCGGGCCCTGCCGCTGGGGCCACGAAACGTCTGAGGGGTGTGCCGGATCGGGTGCGGAGCCGCCAATGCGGACCCTGCCGCTGGAGCTCCCCATGGGGCCACGAAGCGTGTGAGGGGCGAGGGCGAAGGAGGAGAAGAAGGAGAAACGCGGGGCGTTGTCTCTTCAAATCGAGGATCCAACATGACAGGACGGTTGGGAAAAGCACAGCATAAGCATACGTACCTCTCTTCGGATGTCCGCGCGGATTTCCTGGGTCGGCGCAGCACCCCCCTCCCTGGCGCGTAGAGCGCGCCAGGGGTGGCGCCTGCGCCGCCAGTCAGGTCCAGCGCCTGTACAAGAAATCCGCGCGGACCTCCAACAGATTATGCGTGTGCAACTTGTGCTCGTCCTCCTCCTCCTCCTCCTCCTCCTCCTCCTCCGCTTCCTCCTCCTCCTCCTCCTCCTCCTCCTCCTCCTCCTTCCTCGACCCCTCCTCGTCCACCCCGCCTCCTCCATCCGCCCGTTCTCTCCTGCGCCTCCTGCGCCCCCTTGGCCCCCGCGGCTACTGCAGCCGCCGCCGCCGCTGCTCTGGTGAGGGCTCGGGCTGCGGGCACCCTCCACGGGCCCCCCGGAGCAGGCGCGTCGGGGTGCTGAGACCGCCCCAGGAGGAGGAGGGAGGAGGGAGGAGGAGGAGGAGGAGGAGGAGGAGGAGGAGGAGGAGGAGGAGGAGGAGGAGGAGGAGGAGGAGGAGGAGGAGGAGGAGGGAGGGGAGGAGGATGGAGGAGGAGGAGGAGGAGGGAGGAGGAGGAGGAGGAGGAGGAGGAGGAGGAGGAGGAGGGAGGAGGAGGAGGAGGAGGGGAGGAGGGGGAGGAGGGGGAGGAGGGGTCTGTCTCGCGGCGTGCCCCGAGTGGCCGTGGGCGGCACACGACGGAGAGCCTTGGGCCGCCTTCGGCCTCCGCGGGTCCCCGCAAGGCCCCTCAGGACCGCGGGCAGACGACCGGGGCAGAAGAACGGGTCCTGGGCCTCCTCCTCCTCCTGATCCTCCTCCTCCTGATCCTCCTCCTCCTGATCCTCCCTCCTCTCCTCCTCCTCCCTCCCTCCCTCCCTCCTCCTCCTCCTCCTCCTCCTCCTCTTCCTCCTCCTCCTCCTCCTCCTCCTCCTCCTCCTCTCCTCCTCCTCCTCCTCCTCCTCCTCCCCTCCTCCTCTCTCTCTCCTCCTCCTCCTCCTCCTCTCCTCCTCCTCCTTCCTCCTCCTCTCCTCCTTCTCCCCTCCTCCTCCTCCTCCTCCTCCTCCTCCTCCTCCTCCTCCTCCTCCTCCTCCTCCTCCTCCTGGGGCGGTCTCAGCACCCCGACGCGCCTGCTCCGGGCGTCGACCGCACCGATCCGAGGCGCCGAACCATTGTCCACGGTCGGGAATACGCAGACAGGAATCGGGCTCTCTGAGGACCCCGTGTTGGAAAAGTAAAGGCATCGGATGTCTGGGAGCCGTGCTCTGCAAGCTGTTGCCGGCACCAGGTCGGCCCCGCCGTGGCGGGCCACTATGCGGAAGCATCTCCTGGGAGGCCGTCGTGGGGGTGATGAGTAACCACGAATCCCAAGACCAAGCCATAAAGACTGATTGAACCCGATTCATCTAACAGAACGTTGGTAGGCCCGATTGCTCGGGATTTGACCGGGGCCGTTGAAATTGATTTTCGTCCGCGTATATGCCAGCACCGATGCTGACTTCATACCTCCCTAGATTTGCAACCGAGGTCATTGCGTCCTCCTCCTCCTCCTCCACCTCCTCCTCCTCCTCCTCCTCCTCCTCATCATCCTCATCCTCATCCTCATCCTCATCCTCATCCTCATCCTCATCCTCATCCTCATCCTCATCCTCATCCTCATCCTCATCCTCATCCTCATCCTCATCATCGTCATCATCATCATCATCATCATCATCATCACTATTATCATCATCATTATCATCATCATCCTCATCATCATCATCATCATCATCATCATCATCATCATCATCATCATCATCGTCATCGTCATCGTCATCGTCATCGTCGTCGTTGTCATCGTCATGGTCATCCGTCATCATCATCATCATCGTCGTCATCATCATCACCATCATCACCACCATCATCACCAGCATTATCATCCCTCTCTCGCCCCACGAGTCAACGACGAATCGGGACATCGGATCGAATCATGATGTGCGTCGGATCCAGCTGCGTCGGAACGAAGTCGATCCATCGTGCCTGTGTGTGTGTGTGTGTGCGTGTGTGTGTTTATTTCCCTCCTTAAAAAAAGGGGCTCAACCGTCTGCACTTGCCGGCTCTCCTGGCCGCGCGCGCGCTCGGCCTCCCCCCGGGCCGCTCCTCGCGCCCGGGAGCGGTGGAGGCGTGCCTGTCGTCGGCTCCCCGCGGCGTTTTCGTCGGCCCCCCCGCCTCCCTTTTTTTTTTTTTTCTCTCCGTGACACGGTGACTCCTCTCTGCAGACTCCGCCGTGCCCTCCAGGGGCCTCGTCCCTGGCCGCGTATTGCAATCAGCCCGCAGAGCAAGGATGCGCGATGGGGATGCAAGGCCCTTGGACGCCCACCTCGAAGCGCTTCGAGCGGGGCGCGACCAACGAAGGTGGCCAAGGATGGACCGAGGAGGCAAGGATGCAAGGGTTCCCTTGGGAAGGTTGACCATCCTCACTGTGCGGGTTGACTGTAGCGGCACTGGAGATGCAGACTTCGCGAGCGGAGACCGAGCGCGAGCGGAGACCGACCGGCCCCCCCACCTCCCTGCGCCGCCCTGCGCCGCAGGCACCCGGCAGCGGGAGGAAGCGCTTCGGCTCGGACCACGCAGCGGTGTCGGGCGGGAGGGGGAGAGAGGCGGGGGAGGCTCCTGCTCCCTCTCCTTCTCCTCCTCCTCCTCCTCCTCCTTCTCCTCCTCCTCCCCCTCCTCCCCCTCCTCCTCCTCCCCTCCTCCTCCCTCCTCCTCCTCCTCCCTCCTCCTCTCCTCCTCCCTCCTCCTCCTCCTCCTCCTCCCCCTCCGTCCTCCTCCTCCTCCTCCTCCTCCTCCTCTCCTCCTCCTCCTCCTCCTCCTCCTCCTCCTCTCCTCCTCCTCCTCCTCCTCCTCCTCCCCCTCCCCCTCCCCTCCTCCTCCCCTCCCCTCCTCCTCCTCTCCTCCTCCTCCTCCTCCTCCTCCTCCTCCTCCTCCTCCTCCTCCTCCCCCACTCGCAAGGGCGCCAGTGGGAGAGGCCAGGGGAATGCGAGAGAGCTGGACTGTGCTCTCTCTCTCTCTCTCTCTCTCTCTCCGGTGTTGCCGGGTCGCGCGTCTCTGGGGGCGCAGGCGCGCCGGCGGGCAGACGTGGGGCCACGGCCCCAGGAAAGGCGCTGTCCTGACGTCTTCCACACGGGGCCCCCGGAAGTCCAGACTCATGATGCTCCAACCTACTTTAGCCATGACCACGAGAAAGAATTTCGAGCCCCCCCAAAAAAATACCGGAACTCGAGGGTTTTCACCGCTCGGGCCCTGGGAGACACTGTTTCGACACTGTTTCGACACTCTTTTGACACTCTTTCGACACTGTTTCGACACTGTTTCGACACGGGGCCCCCGGAAGTCCAGACCCTTGCCTTATGTTGCTCCCATCGTACTTAAGGACCACGTCCTAGAAATAATTTCGAGCACCCAGAAAAGTGTCGAGAGAGTGTCGAAACAGTGTCGAAAGAGTGTCTCCCAGGGCCCGACACGTGAAAACCCTAGAGTTTTTGGGTACTTTTCTGGTGCTCGAAATTCTTTCTGGTAGTCAAGACTAAAATAGGTTGGAGCATCATAACCCTTGCCCCGAGGCCAGATTTAGGGAACCGCGCTCCATACACCGACGTTTTTGTGCGGCCCTGCACGGACCTTCGCGCAAGAAAGCGGGGCCTGGTGTGTACGGGGCCCTGGTGTATACATTTTCCAACATGTTTCCTGGGGAAGCGGGGAAACGAGTATACACTACACCACCCCGACGTCGTCCCCGACCCTCAAAGTCCTGGGATTGGAAGACGGCCCGCCACTGGTAATGTATAGGCTCCAGTTCCCGAAGCTTTTCATAGTGGACCGTTCTTTGACGGTCCTGGGGCCTTGCCAACAGCTTCCCGCCGGGCTTTTTGTTCAGGGCCCAGGCATGTCTGGGACTGCCTCCTGCTATCTGCGCAGCGCACGAGGGACCCGTGGGGCCTCGTGGGGGGAAACCAGGGCCGGGCTCGGACTCGTCCCAGCCCTCAGCGCTGGACGTCATCTCGTGTCCGAACCACTGCGGTCCAACGAAAGCCGCCCCTGATCCCACACCGGAAACCAGCATCGGAAAACGAAAACCTGCATGCATAGAACTCCTCGGAGGTCCGCGCGGACTTCGCGGATTGGCGCTGGGCCCCCCCTTGGCGGCGCTCCCTGACGCGCTCCGCGCGCCAGGGAGGAAGTGCAGCGCCGATCCAGGAAGTTCGCACGGACCTCCGAGGAAGCATTTTTTTTTTTTTTTTTTTTTTTTTTATTCAGCTGAAAAGACGTGCATATGCTGGCTCGCCCCGTGCACAAAGCACGCTTGTGGTTCCCTCGGTCCTGGCGTGGGGCAAAGGATCGCATCCGCATCAAGTCCCACTGCTCTCCCGGTCAGCGGTACTTCCCGAGCTATGATTCCAACGAGGGGCTCCACCACAGGGGGGGGACCCTGAGAGGGGGCAGGAGTTCGATCCGCTGGTGCACCGAACTGCCACAAACATATGCCCCCCGCATACCCCGCCATCGGCAACTATCGGGAGCTGTGCCGGCGGCTGGTGGGCATCTGTTTGGGCGGCTCGGTGTCAAAGCGACCCCCGGGGCCCCCCGCCCCCTTTCGGCGGTGGACAAACCTCCCTTTAGTAAACCACCCTTTCATGAAAACGGCCCGGAACCGAAACCGACGGACCTGGACCCGCAAAAATGACGGCCGCGACGCCCTTTCGCGAACCGAAAACGGCCAATTCACTAATCGACGTGTCAGGGTAGGAGGTCTGTCCACCTCCGACCCTTTGCGGGATCCCGACGCTGCGGGGCTCTTGCTTGTCTTGATCCGGAGTTGGCTGGCGTCGGCGGGCCTTCGCCCGGCCGCCGCCCCTCGTTGGCGGCGCGCGCAAGGGGGGCGGAGGCAGGGGGGGAGGGCTTCCAGGAAGGAAGGAGGCCGCTTCTTAGCAGGCGCCGGCCTCACATCTGCAGAGAAGGCCCGCGCCTTCTGAGAAGCAGGGGTGCTTCTTGAGAAGCACTCCTAGGGAAACGAACTCTATACACTATACACCGACGCTTTTCGTCCGACCCTGCGCTGAAATTCGCACAGGAACGCGGATCCTGGTGTATACGGGATCCTGGTGTATACATTTTCCGTTGCTTCCCTTGGAAGACGGAAGTGAAGTATACACCACACCACCCCGACGTCGCCCCCGACCCTCAAAAAGTCGTGGAACTGAAAAAACAGCCCGCCACTGGTAATGTATATGTTCCACTTTCCGACCTCTCCCCAGACCCCCGACGTAATGATTTTTTCATTACGTCGACCCCCAGAGGTCTGGACCCTTTCCCCATGACCGGCTTTGCATCCTGAGTCGTTTTTTGACGCTCCAGAGGCCCGGTGAGGGCCCCCGGAGGCCGAAAATTACGAAAAACCTCCCGTCGTGATTTTTTCATTACTCGAGGGGGTCTGGGTCCCCTCCCCCCGGTCCCCTCTGCGCGTGGCTGCTCTCGTGCACCGGCCGGCGCCGCCCGGCTGTCGCCGGGTGTCCCGCCGTCGCTGCCTCGCCGTCGCCCCCGCGCGCCGGCCGGCACTTCCAGGGCCTGGCCCGGGGACCGCCTCTCGCCGCCTCGCCGTGTCTGGCAGCGCGCGAAGTGGTCTTTCTCAGCCCTGGGTTAAGTTGGGCCTGTCCCTCATCCTCCTCCTCCTCCTCCTCCTCCTCCTGCTCCTCCTCCTCCTCCTCCTCCTCCTGCTCCTCCTGCTCCTCCTCCTCCTCCTCCTCCTCCTCCTTCTCCTCCTCCTCCTCCTCCTCTCGCCGCCTCGCCGTGTCTGGCAGCTCGCGAAATGGTCTTTCTCAGCCTTGAGTTAAGTTGGGCCTGTCCCTCTACAGGAGGAATACTCCAAAGTAGTAAACACATAGTCTGGGGACTATTTCTCTAGTATTCCGGGGCATTTTTGGAGCATGCTCTGACTATGTTTTATGTTTCGTCCAAAAATCCCCCTGTAGGGGGGCACGCCCAACTTAAGCCTTGGGGTGCTCTCCAAAAAGACTTGCCTGTAGGAGTCCTGGCCCGATCCACGGAGACCTGGTCCACTGCTCCGCCCCCCCTCTCTTGTCCCAAGACAAATGGGCCTCCGCATGGCGGCCATGGCTGCCTCTGCTATTGCAAATCATGGCTTCCTCTGCCGCTGCAACGGCTTCTTCCGCTAATGCAGCGGCTTCCAGTTTGGGAGGAGCAGGGAAGAGGAGATGAGTAGAGCCGAAGAGACAAAGGGTAGAGTAGGCTGGCGTAGAGCAGAGTAGAGAAAAGTAAGAGCGTGCAGCACTTTAGTAGATTTCCCTGTGCTATTGCGCTGGCTTCCTCTGCTATTGCAGTGGTTTCCTTTGTCATTGCGTTGCCTCCCCTCTGCTGTTGAAGGTGCTTCAAATAGAATAATGCAGAGAGTGGATGAGTAGAGTAGAGCAGAATATAATGGAATGGATCAGAGTGGGAGGAAAGCAGATCATAGTAGACTAGGGTCGAATAGGATATAATAGTAGAGTATAGCGAAATACAACACAATAAGGTAGATGGCAATTACGATAGAGTCGGGTAGGTAGAGTAGAGTTGAGTGTAATAGAGTGGAATGGAGTAGGGCAGATTAGAGTAGAGGAGAGTAGATTCGAGTAGAGTCGAGAATGAGCGGAGCAAAGTAGGGGGGATAATGGAGTATCATAGGGCAGAATAGAGTTGAAAGGCGTACAGTAGGATAGGGTATAGTAGGGTCGAACATAATCGAGTAGGGTAACTGGTAGAGTGGTGCCGGGTATACTTGGATAGCCTAGAGTGGAGTAGCAGAATAGGAGATGAGTGTAATGGAGCAGGGGTAGAGTAGAGTCGGAGATGGATCTAACATAGTAAGGCAAAGTAGGGTCGAGTCGAATATCTTAGTCGGGTCGAGCAGAGAGGAGCAACATAGAGTAAGGTAAATGGTGGAGTAGAGTCTTGAATAATAGGGTAGAGTAGATTGGATCATAATCCACTCCAGTCCAGTCCGTATTCCAGTCCAGTCTTCTTCATTCCACTCCAGTCCACTTCATGCCAATATTTTGATCTGTCTGGGGTCTGCGCTGTCTGACATTCAGAACGTACAACATATGAAACACAACGACTTGTCAAAACATAGCCAGTCGCGGGTTCTGCGCGCGCACATCCTCACTGTCCTTATCAGCACCATCGTCATCATCACTGTCTGTTTATGCTCGCTTCTGCGACTGGATCCTTCCCTCGCTCTGCCTTGCTCTCCCCAGCCGTGGCGTGTGCAAACGATGCGACCGAGCCGGATCTCGGCCCCCGAGCCCTGCTCCGTTCGCACCCCGCCGTGCCAATCGCATCGAGGCGCCCGAGCATTGAGCTGCCTTCGATCGGAAAATGAAAATTCCGAGAAGTCACGGAAAATAGGCACACACGTGCGTTGTTTCTTTGGGGGGTCGGGGGTTGACCAGAGCAGGCCTCGCCAAGGCGGGGCGCGGCGGATGCCAAGGCCTTCTGCTCAACGTCCCTCAAGTCGCTCACATTCTTCTTGTGGTCCAGCACCTTGCGCGCCTTCGGAGGAAGCCACCGGACAGCCACTCGCGAATCTGATAGCGGTGCGCACTGGAGCAGTGGGAAGCTATGTCAGCCCACTGCTGCCTCACCCAGCAGCGTCGCGAAGAAGTCTCTGTGACTTTGTGTAGCTCTCCCACGAGACTTGGGCTTCGTACAACCAGACCTCTAAATTTAACAGCTAATCAGAAGGTGGCAATATTAAGTCGGGCCTGTCCCCCTACAGGCCGAATGTGGACGACACATAAAAAATAGTCAAGACATACCCCAGACTGCTCAAACATGGTCAAAAAATGGTCCCCAGACTATGTTTTGACTATTTTTGGATATTCCCCCTGTAGTGGGACGGGCCCGACTTAATGGCAGTTCCAAACCAGCCAAACGAATGTAGAAAGGCAGTCGGCAATCGGCACGCAGCAGAGGTGCCGCGGGGGCACAACGAGGGGGCGCCGGGGCGCCGCTGCTTCGGGGTGCCGATCGACAGGAGATAAAATCTGGATCTGCCCACGAGGAGGAGGAGGAGGAGGAGGAGGAGGAGGAGGAGGAGGAGGAGGAGGAGGAGGAGGAGGAGGAGGAGGAGGAGGAGGAGGAGGAGGAGGAGGAGGAGGAGGAGGAGGAGGGAAGAGGAGGAGGAAGAGGAGGAGGAGGAGGAGGAGGAGGAGGAGGAGGAGGAGGAGGAGGAGGGAAGAAGAGGAGGAGGAGGAGGAGGAGGAGGAGGAGGAGGAGGACCAATGGAAATCCAAGACTCATGAACCATGTTGGAATGCACCCTCCCTCCAAGCTCCCTCTTCATATGCCCCTGCAAGGACTCATTTCCACTGAGGGAAATGCCCGTAAATCCTGAGGAGGAAGAGAAGAAGAAACATAATAAGAAACACAATAATAAAAAGAAACGCAATAATAAGAAGAAGGATAAGGATAAGGATAAGGATAAGGATCAGGATCAGGAGGAGGATGAGGAGACGGAGGAGGACTAGGAGGAGGATGAGAATGCGGAGGAGGAGGAGGAGGGAGGAGGGAGGAGGAGGAGGAGGAGGAGGAGGAGGAGGAGGAGGAGGAGGAGGAGCAGGAGAAGGGCGCATTCTAACCAGCAGGAGCAGGAGATGGGCGCCTTCCAATCAGAAAGATCGGATTCCAACCCAGACGGGGCCTTTGCACAATCAGACCACCGCTGCACGCGCAAGGATGTCCGCGCTCGCTGCGGCCTCTGCACGGGGCACCTCACCGGGCCCGTGTTTTTTATGGGGGGGGGGCTCGCCACTCTCGTGGAGGCTTCCGAGGGGCTTCCAAGAGGTCCTCGGGATCGTCGATGTCGTCATCGGTCGTCGTCGGTCGTCGCCGTCGTCGTCGCCGTCGTCGTCCGGCTCCTCACTGGACAGACGCTGGTTTGCTTGAGCCGTCGCGTCTTGGTGGCAACGAAGCGAGACAAAACTGTTCGGAGCGCAGCGCTTGATAGATCAAAGGTCAGGCCCTGGTACTCCTGTCTTCTTCTCCTCCTCCTCCTCCTCCTCCTCCTCCTCCTCCTCCTCCTCCTCCTCCTGCGGCCTCTGGGAAGTTTCTGGGCAACTTGTGCGAAGCCTCTGAGAAGCTTCTGACAGGCCCATGGGAAGCTCTTCGCGAAGCTTCTGAAAAAAAAAAACCCGAAGGGCTTTCGAGAAAATGTCTGGGAGGCTCCAGAGCGGCTCGCGAGAGGCGTCCGGAACAGGTCTGACAGGCTACCGGGAGACTGCTGCGGGCCTTCTGGGCCACATCTGCGAGGCCACTGCGGAGAAGCTCCAAACAGGCTTCCGCAGGGACTCCTGGCGGTTCCGATCCATACCTCCATGGATCTGTACACGTCGTTCATTTCTAATCGTGCTCATTTCCAGTTTTGCTCGTTTCTAATTGTTCCTGGCCCCCTAGTGGCCAGGAAGAGGCCCAGGATAGAACAACTAAAAATGAAAGGATCTTGGCCCCCCCAACAAGCATCAAAGATCTTTCGAAAAACCAGAATTGAACAATGTGTACTCCGTGCTCTCTCCCACCTTCGTGCTCCTCCCCTTCTCCCCACTCCGCCCATTCCGATCCTTTTCGTAACCGCCTCCGCTCTCTCCGTTCCGGCCGCACCCCGCGCAGCAACGGCAACACCTTTTGAGCAACCGCAGCGGCAGCGCGTGCAGAGCGTAAGTTGCGGGCTAAAGGTTACATTTTCCATGTGCTAATCGCTCCCCCCGAGGGTCGAGGATTGAGGAGGAGGAGGCGGAAGAGGAGGAGGAGGAGGAGGAGGCGGAAAAGGAGGAGGAGGAAGACAAGGCGGAGGAGGAGACGGAGGCGGTCCTTGTCGCTTGTAACCCGTTGCTGGTGGTTCTCGCACGGTTGCGGAGAAGCTGGGGAACATGTCCGGTGTCCTGGGCTCGCCCTTGAATTATTTTCAACCCCAACCCAATGTCCCGTCATGTGTTTCAACCCTGTCAACGGGATCCCATCCGTTTCGTGTTCGGTTCATCCCCGGCCAAGTGTCCATCTGTGGTCAGTTCCATTTTGACGAGCTTCCGACTTCCACGAGTTTTTCGTGCTTCCAGCTTCCTCGGTAAAGTGCAAGCAGCGTGTGCTAGGATAAATGAGGCAGACCGTGCTAGGGAAATTCGGGCGTGGACACTTTTGGCTTTGCTCTCTGTGCGCTCCTGCATGTGCGCGCGGACGAAACTCTCTCGACCTCGGCGCTGCCCACAAGGGGCTAAAGCGAGAAACGCGCGGATCTCGGGCGCCTCTGGGGCCCTGGATCAGGCCCACGTCGGCGCGTTTTTCACACACGCCGGCCACGGCAGCCCACTATGATTTCGACCGGTCAAACTTTCGGCCAACGCCCATGTGGCCGATTCCGGAAACCCTGGGCCCGAAAAGCTGGGCTCCTCTTGGGGGCGCCAGTTTTACTTCCGCCGGCTTTTGCCGCTTTTCCGCTGGCTTTCGCCGTCGAGGCGGCCCTCGTTTTGCTTTCGCTGGCTTCCGCCGAGGAGTATCAACTCTTCGATTCATCGAATGCACGGCTCTGTCTGGAAGAGGCCATCTGTTTCAACATATTCTGGTGAATGCCGCCGATTGATGCGGATCTTGCAAGCAAGGCCGCGCTTCGCCCTGCGAGTAGGAAGAGAAACCTGTTTTGCCCGCGATGACATAGCGACCTTGCGCGGTGGCTTACGAGGTACGCGGCCTTACGTGGACAACTTGCGCGCTAATGCCGATGAAGACGAGCCCGTTGTTCTGCGCCGTGCACATGTGTGTATGTTTGCGTAAATGTATATGCTTAGATGCGTGTGTACATGTATACGGATATAAACGGATACACCGATGTATGTGTACGTCGTCGCTTAAATTTGCAGACGCACGTAAACATATGGGTGATCCCCGACGCTCGTTTTCCAAAGCGCTCCATGTGTGAAGCTTGCGAGGAAAGGCTGGCAAAAGGGCGGCCAGGGGCGTCGAGGCGCAGCGGCGTTCTCGCTCGACCTGTTCGCGTGTGTACGTGTTAACATATTTGTGTGCGCGTGTGTATGCGTGAGGCTATACAAATGTCTTCATAAGGGGTCTATACTTATGCACAGGTTGTTGGAGGCCCGCGCAGATATCCTCGTGCCTGTGCTGCCCATCCCCGTCCCCGCACCCCCTCCGCAGCGCGCGGAGCGCGATTGGGGGCGGGGAGGGGGACTTGGCGCCGACCCCATCAATCCGCGCGGGCCTCTAGATGCTTGATGCTTTCGCTTATTCCCCAATCAAATCTTGCCTCTGTAGGGGTCCTAACGGATTTCATATGTTTGGGTGAGGTTTGCCACCGATTTCCGCGGCCCGACCGGGTGCCGGGGTGCCCGGGTGCCTTATAGCCCTAAAGCCCTATAGCCCCATAGCCAAATAGTCCTATAGCCCAATAGCCCTCTAGCCCTATAGTCATATAGCCCTATAGCCTGATAGCCTTATAGCCCTATCGCCATGTAGCCCTATAGCCCTACAGCCCTATAGCCTTATAGCCTCATAGCCCTATTGCCCGATAGTTCTGTATGCCTACAGCCCTATAGCTCCATAGCCCAATAGACCTATAGCCCTATGGTCATACAGCCCCGTAGCCCTAACAACATTATGATTGGGGTTTGTCTCTGGTACCATTGTGATTTTCGTTTTCGTATGTTGTTTGTTTTTTTTTGTTGTGCGTTGTAACGTTTGCCTTTGTTGGTGTTGTAGTTTTTTGTTGTTGCTGTTGTTGTCACTGTTGCTGCTGGTTGCTGTTGTTGTTGCTGTTGTTGCTATTGCTGCTGCTGTTGAATACTCGTGTTGCTGTAGATCCCCCTGCCCGGTAACCATTGTTTTTCTAAGTCGAATGCTTCTCCCCAGGAATAATGGGGTGTCACCGAACTGCGCCCTGGCTCCCAGTTTACAACAACAACAACAACAACAACAACAACAACAACAACAACAACAACAACAACCACGACGGCTCCCGCTGGATACTTCCACACTATGTATTCCCACATCGCGCTCTCGCGCGGGACATCCTCACGATTTAGTCACACATCGCGCTCTCGCGTGTGACTTCCTCGCAATTGGACGCTCAGGAATCACGCTCTCGCTGTGGATGTTCTGGCGATTCATGTGGGTATCGCGCTGTAGCTCGAGATTTCCTCGCGATTCATGCAGGAAGCACGCTTCAACCTTTTTTTTTCTTACGCACCGCTCCATTTTCCGCTACGCTCGCCAGCTTAAATTATTGCGCTCTGCGCCTGAGTCGGCCATTTTTTCCTTGTCATATTACCACTTCGACGCTTTATAATGTGAGGATTGAAGTCCGCACAATCCAAAAAGGAGGAGGTTGAGGAGGAGGAGGGGGAGGAGGAGGAGGAGGAGAAGGAGGAGGAGGAGGGGAAGGAGGAGGAGGAGAAGGAAGAGGAGGAGGAGGAGGAGGAGGGACCACGACAAAAATACCACACCCGCGGAGGGTGGGGAGGAGCAGTAGGAGAGATACAGGAAGGAGGAGGAGGAGGAGGAGGAGGAGGAGGAGGAGGAGGAGGAGGAGGGGAAGGAGGAGGAGGAAGAGGAGGAGGGACCACGTCAAAGATACCACACCCACGGAGGGATGGGAGGAGGAGGAGGAGGAGGAGGAGGAGGAGGAGGGATTACGAACAGGACCACGCCCGCGGCGACGACGTCCAGTGCTCGCCCCCATCTGCTCGCTCTGCCCCGCCAGCCGCCGGTGCGCGGCCCGCAGGGCGGGGGGCCGGGCGCCTCGTCGTCCTTCGGCAGCACGTCGATGAGCAGCTCCACGTCCTCCACGCTGAGGCGCGCCTGCCAAAGCGCGGGGGGCTCCTAAAGCGGGGGTGGGGAGGGGCAGGAATGCATGCCGACTGAGAAAGAGAGGGAGAGAGGGAGAGGGAGGTAGAGAGGGATTCACACATACCTTATATTTGTATAAATATATACACATACATACACGTATAAGACTGCACTGGCGCTTCGGTCCATGCACCTGGGCCCTTAAGGTTTGTCATGCAGGCGGAAGGGCAGGAAGGTAAATCTGATAACATAGCAAAACATCCTTGTTGCAATTTCCGACATCGTCGATGTGATAATGTTATTCGTTATCATTCCCTCATGCTTCCTTTCTTTCCTCCTCATTATCGCCCTACACTGCGAATTATTCCCCATCCTCCTCAGCTCTTTTTGCGGAGGCTTCTCCATGGAGAGACTTTTGGGGGCCTCACGAAAGTTTTGAAGGCTTCTTGGGGCCTTCTGGAGGTCTCCAGGCGCCTTCTACGGGCCTCTGGGGGCTTCCTCGGGCCACCCTGCTTCCAACCGCGGTATCCCTGAACGACCAGGTCACGATCTGAAATGCTTCGGGAGCATCTTGGGGCCATCTTGGGTCGTCATGGGATTCATTTCGGGTCATCTTGGGACCCTGTTGGGCCGTCTCGGGGCTCGATTGGACTGCCTGGAAGCCCGTTCGGATAGTTTTGGGGCGATGTTCGGGCTTCCTGGGCGGTCTCGGGCGCCTGGAAGACCGAAGAACAAAGCGTTTCCAAAAACCATGCGAAAACCAATGGGAAATCAATGTTTCTTCGATTCGAAGGCCTAGTGGGGGTGTCTTCTTTGGGCTGTCTTCGGGCGTCTGGTGCGTCTGGGGCCTCTTGGGGCCTCTTGGGGCCTCTTGGGGCCCTCGGGGCGCCGTTCGGCTGCCCTCGTGACCGACGTGGGCCCGCTGCCCAGACTCGGCAGACACTTCCAGGAGCTCCGGAAAGACCGGGGGGCCTTCTGCATGGGGCCCCTGGGGCCACGGATCCGCACTGCTGGACAAGCTTTGCTCTGCCACTGGGTCCAGCAACCCAGCCGGTGGCCAGACGCCGCTCGCGTCGGGCCATTTCGCTGCGTGGCCACGCCGCTCCGCCAGGCCACCGCGCCCTCCAGGGTGGTGGCACCAGGAAGCTGGGCCCACTCACGGGGCTCAGGCGCGCCGAAGTGCCAAGCCCTTCGAGTCCTCCTCTCCTCCTGCCGGCCTCTCTCTCTTCCTCCCCTCCCCTCTCTCCCCTCCTCTTCCTCGCCGTCCCGTCTCGCTCTTCTCCCGCGCGTGATGCGGCCCTCTGCTGTTCGGGAGGCACCCGAGGAGGAGGAGGAGGAGGAGGAGGAGGAGGAGGAGGAGGAGGAGGAGGAGGAGGAGGAGGAGGAGGAGGAGGAGGAGGAGGAGGAGGAGGAGGAGGAGGAGGCGGAGGAGGAGGAGGAGGCGGAGGAGGAGGAGGAGGAGGACTGCACGGGCGATCAGAAGGACGAGGGCACGGGCCTCGGAGCAGGGCGAGCCGAGGCGACGCCAGCTCGAAATCGTACACGCTGGCGTCCGGACCCCTCCCGGGGTCCAGAAGCACAAGTGGTCCGAGCTGCGTCCAGACGTGGCGACGAGGGACCCCCCCCCCCCCCCCCCCCCCCCCGAAGGCCAAGTACCCGTCTCAGCCCGCCTTCCTCTGACTGGAGGCTTGGGCACTTGCCCATCGCCCCCAGCAGGGCAGGGAGCTGCGGCTGCCGAGGGAGGTCAACTTGGGCTCGTCGAGCGCTCAGGTGATCTGAAAAACGCCAGGGACGTTCTCCCCAGGAGAAAAAGGAGGAGGAGGAGGAGGAGGAGGAGGAGGAGGAGGAGGAGGAGGAGGAGGAGGAGGAGGAGGAGGAGGAGGGGAGGCCGCGTTCGACGAAACTTCAGGCCGTCAGGAACCAAGAACCAGGAACCAGGAGGAGGAGGAGGAGGAGGAGGAGGAGGAGGAAGAGGAGGAGGGGAGGCCGCGTTGGAGGAGGAGGAGGAGGAGGAGAAGGCAGATGTGGAGGGGGAGTGGGAGGAGAAGGAGGAGGAGGAGGAGGAGGAGGAGGAGGAGGAGGAGGAGGAGGAGGAGAAGAAGGAGCAGGAGGAAGAGAGGAGGATGTCAAGATCAACGTTTCTTTCTATTCTGGGCGCCATCTTTGTCATGTTCTCGAGTCTGGGATCGGCCCATGGCCCACCTGCTCCTTTCCTTTTCCGCTTCCGATGCGCTGTTCAATACCTCTGACGTCCACGTTCCGGGGCGCCGGTCTTAGAATGTGCTAGTCGAATCGAGAGCGAACAATGGAAAACGAAAAATACATGCGCCCGGCGTTGTTTAAGAACATCTGGCGGATTCCAGAAACCCTGAACCCAAAAACGTTTTCATCTCTTTGGGGGGGCGTCTTTTACTTCCGTCGCCTGCCGCCGGCCTTCCGCGGGGCTTCCGCCGGCGGGGGCGGCCTCGTTCTACTTCCGCCGTCTTCCGCGGGCCGTCCGCCGAGGAGGCGATGCCAACTCCATCCAACTCCTTCTGCCCTCGAAGGCGAGGCCCTGCTTGGAACGCTCCATCTGAGGTCGAGCGCCTCCTCCTCCTCCTCCTCCTCCTCCTCCTCCTCCTCCTCCTCTTCCTCCCCCTGCTCCTCCTCCTGCTCCTCCTGCTCCTCCTGCTCCTGCTCCTGCTCCTGCTCCTGCTCCTGCTCCTGCTCCTCCTCCTCCTCCTCCTCCTCCTCCTCCTCCTCCGCTGGCAGCTCCGCTGCTCCTGGGATGGTCCAGTCGAGAGCGAAGAGTGGGGAAGCGGAGAGCGCACGCGCCCAGCATGCTTACGCTTAAGAACAGCGAAGGCTAAGTCGGGCCTGTCCCCCATACAGGGGGATTTTGGGCGGAAAATGAAAAACACCCCAAACATATTCAAAACATGCAAAGGAATAGTCAAGCAACGTCCCCTGACTATGTTTTTTCCCTATCTTGGAAGATTCCTCCCGTAGAGGGGCAGGCCCGACTTCAAGCTAAGGTCGAGCGCCCCCGGCTGCTCCTGGGGTGCCCCGCCCCTCGTCTCCGGGCCCACGCGCAGGTGCTGCTCCGCCTCCCCGCGCCTCTCGAGGGGCGGCGGCCCCGTGGCCGCCACCCGACGGGGGGCCCCCTGCCGGGAGGCCAACGCCCCCTCGTCGGGAGGAGGGGGAGGAGGAGGAGGAGGAGGAGGAGGAGGAGGAGGAGGAGGAGGAGGAGGAGGAGGAGGAGGAGGAGGAGGACGAGGAGGAGGAGGAGGAGGAGGAGGAGGAGGAGGAGGAGCGAGGAGCGAGGAGCGAGGAGCGAGGAGGAGGAGGAGGAAAAGGACCCTCCCCCGTCCCCCCCCCCGTCGGGGGCAGGGCCCGTCCGCCCTTTGGCCGCCTGCTCGGCGAGGCCGGGAGCCGAGGCCCTGCTCTGCGCGCCTCCCCTGGCCTGCTCGGCCCTGGGCCCGGAAGCGCTCCCCGCGGGTCTCAGCTCGCCCTCTGAGGGACGAGGGACCCGTCGGACGCCCTCTGCTCGTCGTCGTCGTCGTCGTCGTCGTCCTCCTCCTCCTCCTCCTCCTCCTCCTCCTCGTCGTCGTCGTCGTCGTCGTCGTCGTGCCAGCGCGGGCCGCGTGGTGCGTGCCCCGCCTTGCGGTCTGCCTCCTGCAGCTGGGCCTCGCGGCAGCGCTTGGCGACGCCCCCAGGGGCGCATGGCGTAGCCCCCCCAGGTAGTCCCGGCTGGCCTCAGGATGCCCCCCGCGCAGTCCGAGCTGCCCTCAGCATGCCCTTAGAGTAGTCCTGAGAGGTCTCAACGCACGGGCGCCGCCTCCGACGGCGCCCCGGGGGCGCTCTGGGCCCGCGCGCCAGGGTCGGGGTGCCGAGGCCGCCACAGGCTCCCCGGGGGGCCTGCTGCGGCCAGCTGGGGCTGCGGGGGGGGTGCCGCTGAGGCCAGCTGGGGCTGCCTCGGGGGCCTGCTGAGGCTGGGACCACCTCGCGGGGCCTGTTGAGGCCAGCTGGGGCTGCCTGGGGGGCTGTCTGCGCGCAGCCCGAAGCCTTACCGTGCGGGCTCGGCTCGGATCCGCCTGGTTCGCGCTCCCGGTTCGCCCTTCTTGGCCCTCGCTTGTCGAGGCCGGCCGCAGGCCGATCTAAGATGCATGACTCTCCTCGTTCTGCCCGCCCCCCCCCCCTCCCTCCCCCCCAAGGCCCTCTCGTTCGTCGTGGTCGGTGGTTTCACCGAAATCTTTCCTGGGACCCCCCCCCTTCGGAAGCAGGCCCATCCCTCGTCCATCCGTCACGCTGGAGGCGACCAGGGGGCCTGCGCTGGATGGGCCCGGAGACAATCGGTCAAGGGGGGCTGGGGGATCCAATCTGGCCAAGGTCGACCTCGGGACCCCTCCCAAGGTCCAAAGCACCAGCTTTTCGAGCCGCGTCCGGCCGTGGCGACGCGAGTCCCAAAGAGCTCCTCCTCCTCCCCCTCCTCCTCCTCCTGCTCCTTCCTCCTCTCCTCCTTCTCTCCCCCTCCTCCTCCTCCTCCTCCTCCGCCTCCTCCTCCTCTCCTCCTGCTCCTCCTCCTCCTCCTCCGCCTCCTCCTCCTCCTCCTCCTTCCTATTCCTCTCCGGGTCCTCTTCCATCTCCGACCTGCTCCTCCTGAAGTCCATTCCGCCTGAAGTTTCGTCGAACGCGGCCTCCCCTCCTCCTCCCCCTCCTCCTCCTCCTCCTCCTCCTCTTCTTCCTCCTCCTCCTCCTCCTCCTCCTCCGCCTCCTCCTCCTCCTCCTCCTCCTCTTCCTGCTCCTTCTCCTCCTGCATCTCCTCTCCCTCCTCCTCCCTCCCCCCACTTTCTGCTGGCTGGAAGCAATGCTGGGCCTCCTCAGGACCCCCCAGCCGACTCCAGCATCCATGGCTCTCCATGGCTCTCCTCTCTCCAAGGGCCTCGTCGAAGTCCAGGTCGGCGAGGCACGTGCACAGCGCATCCGCGGAGATGCTCGACTCGATCTTGCTCAGCACCTTCCGCCGGCGCGGCCCCTCCCCCGCGCTTAGGAGGGGCATGAGGGAGGAGGAGAAGGGGTGAGGAGGAGGAGGAGGAGGAGGAGGAGGAGGAGGAGGAGGAGGAGGAGAGGAGGAGGAGGAGGAGGGAAAGGAGGAGGAGGAGGAGGAGGAGGAGGAGGAGGAGGAGGAGGAGGAGGAGGAGGGAGGAGGAAGATGAGGAGGAGGGAGGAGGAGGAGGATGAGGACGAGGAGGAGGAGGAGGAGAGGAGGAGGAGGAGGAGGAGGAGAGGAGGAGGAGGAGGAGAAGGGGGAGGAGGAGGAGGAGGAGGAGGAGGAGGAGGAGGAGGAGGAGGAGGAGGGCGGAGGAGGAGGAGGAGGACGAGGAGGAGGAGGAGGAGGAGGAGGAGGAGGAGGGGGGAGGGGGAGGAGGAGGGGGAGGAGGAGGAGGAGGAGGAGGAGGACGAGGAGGAGGAGGAGGAGGAGGAGGCGGAGGAGGAGGAGAAGGAGGAGGCACTCTCTGCTGGCTGGAAGGAATGCTGGCCCCCCCCCCAGGTGGGGCATGAGGAAGAGGGACACGAGGAGGCGGAGAGGGAGGAGGGTCAGCAGGAGGAGAACGAAGGGGGGGATGAGGACAAGCTTGGGGCGTTCGCGCCGCGCCTGACACCCCGTACCCCTCCAGACCATCCCTTCCCAAGGCGCTGATATCGGTTCTATCCGCTGGCTGGGGTGTCCTAGACGACCTTGGTCCCCCAGCCGACCTCATCGTGTGATGCGCAGACAGGGTGGGGTTGGGGGGGCTTTATGGGAGGAGAAGGACTCAGGAGGGGAACAACGGGGAAGACGGCAACGACGAAGACCGGACCGGATCCAGAAGCGTGGCCCGCGCCGGGGCGAGAGCGCACATCAGAGCGACGGGAACCAAGCGTCGATCCTGCAACCTGAGCGGCGCCGAAAACGGCCCGATCGAAGAGTCACAGAACCTTTCGTCGATCCTGGAAGGAAGCAGCGCTGCAGCAAGAACGCTGATTGTTTTGAATGGCCGAAAACGGCCCGATCGAAAAGTCACATAACCTTTCGTCGATCCTGAAACGTGAGCAGCGCTGCAGCAGCAAGAACGCTGAATGTTTTGAAGGGCCGAAAACGGCCCGATCGAAAAGTCACAGAACCTTTCGTCGATCCTGAAACGTGAGCAGCGCTGCAGCAAGAACGCTGAATGTTTTGAAGGGCCGAAAACGGCCCGATCGAAAAGTCACAGAACCTTTCGTCGGTCCTGAAACGTGAGCAGCGCTGCAGCAAGAATGCGGAACGTTTTGAAGGGCCGAACACGGCCCGGTCAAAAAGCCACAGAAAGGGGGAAACCAACATTTATCGGGGAGACGTAAGACCCGGGTACGGGGGACTCGGAAATCCCCGACGAGGTCGTCAAAAAAATGACGAGGCCGAGCCTGCATTTTGACGAGGCCTCCCGCTGCAGACGTCCCACGAAACTCCTACTCGTCAAAATCCGAGGCGCGGTCGTCAAAAAAAAATGGCGAACCCGAGTCCTGGCAAACCCGGGTCTTACGCTCCCCCGAATTTAAGATCATGTGCGTGTGCCCTTCGCACTTGGCCCCGCGCAAGCTGGCGTGCCGCCGCTAGTCGAACCGACTGGCACCCTGCAGGCGGGCAGCACGGCCCGGGGAGGCCGCCCCCCACCCCCCCGCGCAGGCCCCCCCGAGAGGGCCCCGCTCCCGGCGGTGCCCCCGCGCGCCTCGCCTCGCCGCGCCGCCCGCTGCTCCTCCTCCTCCTCCTCCTCCTCCTCCTCCTCCTCCTCCTCCTCCTCCTCCCCCTCCTCCTCCTCCTCCGCCTCCTCCTCCTCCTCCTCCTCCTCCTCACTCTCCTCCTCCTCTTCCTCCTGGGGGTGGAACGGCTCGAGAGGGGGGGAAGGTGCGGAGGTCGGCCCAGCAGGACCCCCTCTATATAGCGGGCTCGGCGGGCTGTGGGCGCGCAAAAAGCGAGGACAATCTTAGGGATGGGCCCTCAGAAACCGAGGGAATCCTGAAGATCGGCGTCGAGGTGAGGTGATGTCAAACATGGGGATAGGGATATGTTTCAAACTGGTAGAATCGCCCGTGCCACTCGTAGATATCACACGCAGGTGCCAGCCGTCTCACTGCTTCCCGGCAGCTGCGCGGGAGCAGACGCCCGTGTCACGGCATCGGTGCATGAATGGCCAAACGAGGGAGCAGGATGAGGAGGAGGAGACGGAACTGGGTCGGGCTGGACACAATAGCTGGAGGGCCGCGTGGTGGCAATCTAGACGGTCATAGCGGAGGGTCTGGGAATTGCAGGCACTGCGCGACAGCCTGCCAAAAAAATCCAACGGCGCTGCACGAGGCAACCTGCCACAAGCGAGCATGTGCATCGACCAGAACACTGCGCACCGTGCACGTGTAAGTGACGGCACGGTGCAGAACGGGAGTCTGCCAACCTGGGCCGTCCAGGCGCAGAGGCAAATCAGCGACGCAACATGCTGAAGAAGCATCGTAACGGGATCAGATCGGCAACCCCCAATGCCATCCGCCACCGTGCCGCTGGGCACGGAGTGGGCGTGTCCTCAGGTCCGCTGCCCGATTCCCTACGCCTCAGTCCCCGCTCCTGAGGAATCTTTAAAGAGCTCGGACCCCGAATGCCGAAATTTGGCGGGGCTTGCTGCGTGTCCCATGGGGTTTCCTCCTCCTCCTCCTCCTCCTCCTCCTCCTCTTCCTCCTCCTCCTCCAAGCGAACGGTTTCCAGAAACCGTAAAGTTCGAAGCTCCTCCTTCTCCTCTTCATCTTCCTTTCTCATCCTCCTCTTCCTCCTCCTCCTCCTCTTCCTCCTCCTCTTCCTCCTCCTTACAAGAGATGCCAGCAGCCGGGCCGAGCCCGGGCCGAGCCCCGGGCGATTGCGATGTTCTGCGCGCGGGTGCCGTCCAGCACCGCGATGCCCGCCGCCTTCTTCGCCACCGCCTTACGCCTCGCGCCACCGCCTGGGGCCTCGGCAGTGGATAGAGGTCGTCGTCGTCGTCGTCGTCGTCGTCGTCGTCGTCGTCGTCGTGGTCGTCGTCGTGGTCGTGGTCCTGGTCCTTGTCGTGTCGCCGCTGGAGTCACCGCCGCCGCCGCCGCCGCCGTCGCCGCCGCCGTCGTCGTCGTCGTCGTCGTCGTCGTCGTCGTCGTCGTCGTCGTTGTCGTCGTCGCCGTCGGAAGGGGCGTCGCCGTTGCCGCGGCCGCTGTCGTCTTCGCCGTAGTCCCCGCCGCCGTCGCCGTCCCCGTGGTCGCCGTCGCCGTCTCAGTCGCCGCCGCCGTTGCCGCCACCGCCGCCGTCGCCGCCGTCGCCGCCTGTCGCCGTCACCGTCGCCGTAGCCGTCGCCGTCGCCGTCGTCGTCGTCGTCGTCGTCGTCGTCGTCGCCGTCGTTGTCGTTGTCGTCGCCGTCGTCGTCGGAGGGGGCATCGCCGTTGCCGCAGTCGCCGTCGCTGTCGCCGTCGTGGTCGTGGTCGCGGTCGTGGTCGTGGTCGCGGTCGTGGTCGCGGCCGTGGTCGTCCTGTCGTCATGTCGTCGCCGTCGCCGTCGCCGTCGCCGTCGCCGTCGCCGTCGCCGTCGCCGTCGCCGTCGTCGTCGTCGTCGTCGTCGTCGTCGTCGTCGTCGTCGTCGTGTCGTCGTCGTCGTCGTCGTCGTCGTCGTCGTCGTCGTGTCGTCGTCGTCGGCGTCGTGGTCGTCGGGCGGGGGTGGATGGGAGATTTTGGAATTCGATCGGTGGGATGGGGTTTTTTGGGAAGGAGGGGGCCGAAAGGAAGACGACAACTGAGGCAGGGTGATTGGGGGAGTGGGGCGGAAAGGGATGGGAAGGACGGGCGAGAGCATGTGCACGTGAGCGAACTGGTGACCAAACTACAGAGTCAGGGAGAGAGAGAGCGAGAGAGAAAGAGAGAGAGAGAGAGAGAGAGGAACAAAAAATGTAGACATATAAAAATACATATCGAGCTGGATACATATATATATATATGTATATATATGTATATATAGATATCCATGCATCTGAAGCTAACGCGCATATGCATCTATGTTAACCAACGTGGGCCTCGAACGCTGTTTTCTAGCAGTCCATGTTGTGCAAGCTATGTGATGCATGCTGAGTGGTGCGATCTATGTTGTGCAACCCACGCTGTGCATGCGCACGCTATGTGGTGCAGTCAATGTCGTGCAACCTATGTGGTGCAACCGTTTTTTAAACAACTGAACTAGCACTTCCCATGCCTTTGCAAACGTCCCACCCACCCACAACTTGGTTTGCAAAACCCATGTGGCGGCGATTGCGACGAGTGCTCGGCGTTGACTGGTGCATCTCTGCGGCCGCGCTAGCTCGCGCATGCTTGGGCGCACAGCGGCCAGCTAGTTTGGCGCGACCGACGCGGCCGCGGTGGCACTGACCGTTGGGCACTCCCCAACAAAAAGTTCAGTGCGAGTCGGTGGCGGTGTCAGGGCGACGCCGACAACGGTAGCCACGATTATGAAAGCAGCGATGATGGTGACGAAGGTGGCGATGACGACGGCAATGTCAATGGCGGCGCCGATGTTGATCACGCCCGCCGATAACGATGACGATGTCCTCGCGTCGGCGATGAAAAAGTTTTGGAAAAATCGACATGCGCGCGCGGCCGACGCGCGAGAGAGGCCCGCGTGATATTAGTTGACACGTAACGTACCCCCCCCCCAGCACGCGCGCACGGGCGTTCGAATGAGTTCGGCATGCGGCGCGAGAGGCCCGCGGTGCCGCATGTGATGCACATGTTGGATCACAAATGGTTTTCTCAAAGATCCACACGACCGCGAGCGCATGTGTTTGTGTGTATATATATATAGATACATGAAGAAAAACTGGTGTTGCACAACCGTGAGTTTTGATGCGTTCTCGGGGCAGCGGCTTTTTGAAATCCTCACAGCGCCCAAGGCTTTTAAGTATTTCGGCATGCGCGCGACGACGCGCGCGCGTGCACGTCGTCCTATGTGTTGCTAATTGTTCTTGGGGCAGCACGCGCGCCATGGCGTCCGACCGATTTCGACATGCGCGCGCGAGGGGCCAGTTTGGTAACCGTTTGCGAACATGTTGAGCAACAAACGATGGCTTTTCTCAGAATTCGCATGGCCGCGAGCGTAAGCTTTTTGTTGAAAACCCTCGTCGCGAAACCATGTTTAACATGTGTTCGTGACTCTTGCGAAACCTACGGTCTATGACTGATTTCGGCATGCGCGCGCGACGGCGCGCGCGCGTGCACTTCGTCCGTTTGTCGCAGTGGACTCTTGACAACTGATAAACTTTAAAGGAAAGAATTGTGTGAAAGGGGGGGGGAAACTCCAGCTTGGCTGGGATGGTGCGAATTCAGATTTAGGATGGGCGATGGGGCAAAACCATACGCACATTGCAATCCAACGAAGTGGCCCGTTAACCCCCAAGGGGTGGGTGATGGGCGTATGGGGCGTGGGAGGGGGTGGGTAGTTCCGAATGCTCTTGTAGAAAAGGAAAACGCATGTTGTGCGCTCTATGTGGCGCAGTGCGCCAATGCTCGCAGCGAGTTGCCAATTCCACTGCTCGCGCAATCATCCCGCGCGCCCGCCCGCAACTTGGTTTGCAAAACCCATGCGACGGCGATTGCGATGGGTGCTTTGCGTTGGCTGGTGCCTCTCTGCGGCCGCGCTAGTGCGGCGCGACCGGCGCGGCCGCGGTGGCGCTAACCGCTGGGCCTTTCCCAGCGCGCGCTTCAGGTGCGAGTCGGTGACTTGGGCGGGCGCGGTATCATGGCAGCGCCGACAGCGGTGGGCGCGACGCTGAAAGAAGCGATGATGGTAGCGATGGAGGCGATGACGACAGCAAGGTCAATGACGGCGCCGATGTTAATCACGCCCGCCGATGACGATGACGATGTTTTCGCGTCGGTGGTGAAGGGTTTGGAAGGAGTTCAGCATGCGCGCGCGGCCGACGCGCGCGAGTGGCCCGCGTGGCGCGATTTGACGCGGATCGTGCCCCCCCCCTGCGCGCGCGCAAGGACGTTCGGATGGGTTCGACATGCGGCGTGGGAGGCCCGGTTGGTAGACGTGGATGGCAATTCTAAATGAAAAACAAACGGTTTTCCTGACAATTCGCAAGGTAGCGCGCGCGCAAGTTCTTTGACAACTGCTGTTGGAAACCACATGTTTCTGTATGTTTTCGAGGCGCTCGATTTTGAAACCCTTGCGACGCCTGAGGCTTTTGGACGATTCCGGCGCGTGCGCGCGACGACGCGCGCGCGCGCGCGCTTCGCTCCGTTTTCTGCAATGGATTTTTGCGACAGCGCGCGTGCGAGGGCGTTCGAACGATCTCGATATGCGCGCGCGACAGGTTCGTTTGGTCGCATCCGATGAAATTGTTGGAAATTGTTGGACAACTTATGGTTCTCTCAAGGATCTGAAGGAACGCGAGCACAAACAAAAACGTGTTGCGAAACCACGTGTGCTGATCAATTTTCACTGCGTTCGATCTTGACTTCCTTAAGGGGCGAACTTTTTTGTGTTTCCAGCGCGCGGCGCGGGCGTGCGCTATATATACATATATATTATATATATATATTGATATATAATATTATTATATATATATATGTATAACAATTGTTTAGACAAGAAATTTAAACACTGCGTTGTTTAATGAGCGATTTTTGTTGTTGTTTGTTATTTTCCTCTCTTTTCTGTTTTCTTTTCTCCCCCCCTTTTATTTATTTGTTCTCCGAGGGGATGCAGCGGGGGGGGGGGGGGGGTCGCTGCCGAATTGGCAGGGCGAGGAAATCTCATGGATAGGTCACTGGAAGAAGGCCGCGTGAATGCGACGAGAAAAGTGACCCATTAAGGTGTGGGTTGGGTGGGCGGGGTGGGGTGGGGGGGAGGCGGGGGCGGGGCGGTGGCGGTGGGGGTGGGGTGGGGGGGGGGGGGGGGGGGGGGGTAGATCCGAATGCTTTTTTAACTTTGTTGCGCAAGCTATGTGGTGCAGTCCATGTTGAAACAACCACGTGGGGCAATCTGCGCGGTTCAGTGTCTGTTGGGCAAGCTATGTGGTGCAATCTACGTGGTGCTGTCTCTGTGGTGCACTCTGCGCAGTGCTATGCGCCCAGTCGAACATGAAATCGCCAGCTCCACTGCTCGCGCAACATCCGCCCGCCCGCAACTTGGTTTGCAAAATTCATGCGGCGATTGCGATTGATGCCTGGCGCTGGCTGGCGCATCGCTGCGGCCGCGTTCGCGCGCGCAGGCTCGCGCGCAGAGCGGCCTACTAGTCTGGCGCGACCGACGCGGCCGCGGTGGCGCTGGCCGCCAGGGACTTCCCGGCGCGTCTCGCTGGCCGCGCTGGCGCGCGGTCACATCAACTCGAGTCGGTGGCCCGGGCGGGCGCGGCATCGCGGCGACGTCGGCGGCGGCGGACGCGATGGTGATAGTGGCCGCGCTGGTGGCGATGATGCCAGCGACGATGGCAGGGCCAACTGCGGCGCAGATGGCAGGGCCAATAGCGGCGCCGATGCTCGTCGCGCCGACGACGGTGATGGTGTTCAAGAGTCGGCGATGAAGGCTGCAGGGGGATTTCGGCACGCGCGCGCGGCCGGCGCGCGCGAGCGCCCCGCGCGACAGTTTTCGGCAGGGGCCGTGCCACCCCAGCACGCGCGCAAGGGCGTTCGAATGCTTTCGGCATGCGCGTTCGCGGAAGGCTCGTCTGGTCGCGCTGGATGAGAATGTTGAAGAACCTTTGGTTTCTTATGGATTCATAGGAGCGCGCAGATTTTTGCGGGGGATCACGCGGCAGAGCATGTTTCAAGTTTTCGGCGCACTTCCCCGTGAATGCCGTGGGCAACCGATGGTTTTGGGCGGGTTCCGGGCATGCGCGCGCGACGACGCGCCCCCTGACTTTGTCGCGTTTCTATCTGCGTGGGGCCTTTGACCAACGAGCGGTTTCTCATGGGCGAGTGCGCGCGCCGAGTGTTATCCGAAGGGGGCGGGGCAAGGGGGCCAGTTTGGCGGGGGCGACGCGAAATCATTCCCCAAGCAGTGCTTGCGCGTGAGGGTTGTTGCTTCTGTTCAAAAGGAACTGGGCCGCATTTTCGGTCTGTCGGCTATGTGGCCGCCGTCGCCGCCTCGCCGCCACCCCGTCGCCGCCCTTCGTCTTGGCCGTGTCTTCGGTCTGGCAGCTATGTGGCCGCCGTCGCCGCCCCGTCGTCGCCCGTCGTTTGGGCTGGTCAGCTGGCCCGGCGGCTGCGTGGCCGCCGCCGTCGCCCCGTCGCTGCCCTAGATTCTCCTTTCTAACAGAGGATTAGGATCACCCTCAACTTTTCGCATTGCAAGTTGCGTGCTATTCAGCCCCGTCGTCCGCCCTGATCATGCATTCGCGCCGCCCCAGCCAGGCGGGCGACGGTTCACCCCCCCGCTCCCTGCAACAGGTGCAATGCGCGCGCGCTCGTGTGTCATATACCAGAATGCTCCAAACATCCTCTGCGCGAGATGAGGCGAAGTGCACGCGCGCGCGTCGTCGCGCGCGCGCGCCGCAATCCTTCAAAAACAAGGGGGGGGGGGGGGGGGGGGGCGCCAGGAATTCAAAAACGAGTGCCCCGGGAACAAATAAAACAACGCAGATTTCGCAGTCATTTTTCAAAACAAGCTTGCGCTCGGACTCTTGCAATCTCTTGGGAACGACATTTTCATTGCTTGCTACCAAACGGGCCTCTCGCTCGCGCGCGTCAGAATCGCTCGTCCTTGCGCGCGTGTTGTCGCGAAAATCCCTTGCGACGTGCGCGCGCGCGTCGTCGCGCGCGCGTGCCGGAATCGCCCAGAACGCGAGGCGTCGCATGGATTTCAGAAGCGAATGTCCCGAAGCCATCAAACACATGGTTTTGCAGCGCCAGTATTCAAAAATGCCTTCGCTCGCGCTCCTGCGAATTATTCAGA